ATGATAAATAAACCTCATGATCCACGGAAATTTCTGTAAAAAGATATCAAAGTAAACCTGTAATATTCAATTTATAAAAAAAGTGGAGCAGTCTTTTTATATATTAGGCAGATTTATATTAAATCTTAAACATTTTCTAAAACAACTTTTAACAAATCACCATTTTAGCAGTCAAGCTTTTGAAATTTATATCAATTCAATTTCGGCTCAACTTGAACATGAATAAAATGAGCATAATGCCACTTTAAAGCTGGTAATTTAGAGCCTTGCCTAACTGCACGAATATTCAGACTTGTTAGGCTCTAGCTTAAGTGGAAGACCTTCGGTTTCAGCAGTGGACAGGTTAAGTAATAACCATGAACTGGAGTACATATGAGCCGCGTCACGACAAAAAACCAACATAATGGGTTTGCGACCAGCATGGATCCAGACCAGCCTGTGCATCCGCGCAGTCTGATCAGGATCCATGCTGTTCGCTATCAGTTTCTCTACTTGTTATTGGGTTTGTAAGCGAACAGCATGGATCCTGATCAGACTGCGCGGATGCGCAGGCTGGTCTGGATCCATGCTGGTCGCAAACCTATTATGTTGGTTTTGTCATGACGCGGCTCATATGTCCTTTGTTACCCCATAACATTTCATCTAATCTTATAATCATATTAATTCAATCACATCTTTTTTATTTTATTTTTCAGTTCTACATTTGTACCAATAATAAAGGAATGTTAGGCAATCCCTTGTGAGTACATTTACCTTAAGAACCAAGAGTGTAGACAATGATCCACATTATTGAAACTAAATTTCAACTTCTTATTCGTTAAAGCAAAAGTTTGAAGAGCAACCACAAGGCCGGCCGCATATTCAAGATTAAGGGTTTCCTCAGTACATCTCTTGTACCAGATCTGATAATGCCATTAGTAAAAACCAGTTACTGGCAAACATTTAAAAAAAAACATTTTATTATATTCAATATGCCACCATCTTCGTTTGTAGCTGAGGTCACGTGCCCGTACGAATCGGTAAAGGTCACTTGCCCGTAAGAATCTATATATGAACATTGAAGTTGGGCTCGTGGCACAAATAAAGCCCAGCGGGGCAAGCGAGATCTTCCTGAGCAAGTTAAGCATATATCATTCACTATAGACTTTAGACACACATTTCAGAGTACAGGAGCAGAGCGTTTATTAGAGAGCATACAATATCATGTCAACTTAAGTAGGTTCTGAATGAAATAGAGATAACTTGCATAATCTTCAAGGATCTTATATAATCATTATATTACTACCAATTACTATCAATCATCATCAAGTTTGAATTAATTTATGGTCAATTACCCCCTTTAGTGAAACCCCTTGACACAGAGTGAGTGGCATGATTAAATCTAGGGTAAAGGAATTTCAAGGATAATTTACATATTCTAAATCAATATAAACTATTCATTCCGATTAAAGAAATCAAAACTTTGCTTTTTTGAATGCCACGTATCCGAAGTTTTGACAAAATTGGTGAAGGGTTTCAGGATCTAATATTTGTATGAAAATGTCCTGGTTTTCATTGTTCACTGTATTTTAAACCACCTTGCTATATTACACACATTATCCAAATGAATGTAACACAAGCCTGTATTGTCTGATACCCTGTATCCACAAAGGACACTTATATTCATAATCTTCTTACCTTTCTAACAAAAAATGAAAACATCTTATCAAGTATTAAATAATATTTAACACCAGCTTGAGTAATAGGTTGTAAGCATTCATAAAAGTGGACATTGTATACATATTTTTGTTTCATTTTAACGTATAAAACGGAGAACAGATTAATGATTATCAAAACATATAGAACAAACTTGGTAACAAGGTGACAGTTGATCAAAGGTCAAATACAGGTCAATTAAACACTTTAAATAGTTTGGTTTATTTGTCTGTTTTTAGTCAGTTATTAACCCAAACAAGATTACTCCCACTGACAGGATTAGAAGAGATAAGAAAATATCCCTGGAATAATAGTGCAAAATGTAAATTTATTATTACAAAAACTTACTTCACAATGAGAGGGCCATTATGGCTTTTAATTGCTCACCTGTAATATTTGGCTGGAAAAAGTCACAATTTTTATTTATTAATGCTAATGTCAACAAAAGCCATGTTAACATGGCCATCCCCCGCCGAATGTGTTTGTTCATTGGAAGAATGTATATGTAGTAGAGCAGAATAATTCAATTCTAAGAGGTATTTTGGTAATGAAAACTGATGGCTGAAGTGATTACAGATTTGAAACCTCTGGGCAAAAATTAAGTTTGAAAAATAACAAAGGGCAATAACTGAAAAATCATGCAGGGTAGAGTTATCATTCTTGTGAGACGGAGACTATTTCTATAATGAGGTCACATTGGAATTTGAGTTTTCTTTTCATTTTTAGGCAATTATTTTCTAAAATATTCGTATTTGTCTGCTATGAAATGCTTCAGGACAAATATCTAAGCTTTTGACATTGTACTTCCACAAAAGAAATTCCTATAAGTCTATATGGATGAAGTAACCCCCCCCCCACCCCGGTAGAGGCCAATTTTGACCCCAGGGACATGATTTACATAACTTTTGTAGAGGATCACAACATGATCCTACATGCCAAATATCTAAGCTTTAGGATTTTTAGAGAATAAGATTTTTAAGATATTTTTACTTTACAAGTCTATGTAAACTCAAGTCATCCAAAGGACAAGGCAATTATTGACCCCAGGAGGTGACCACAAGGTGATGCTACATGCCATATATCTGAGCTCTGGGGATTGTTGTTTCTGAGGTTTTTTATAAAAAAAATTGATGATTTATGTCTGTGACCCACTTATGCATAAAAGTGACACAATGTATATATCTTTTGTGGCAGACCACCTAAGGATCATTCCTGTGAAGTGTGATAAAAATCCATCAACTCGGGTTTTGGATGAGATGTCAGTTAAAGAAATCGGGGTTACAATGACAACAGACAACCACAAAAGCTTTAAACTAAGCAATTTGCGCTAAAATGAAAATTGTAAAAAAGAAGCTTTAAGGTGATTTCACATTTTTTTTAAAGAAACAAAGAATTTAGCTGTTTTTAAATACATTGTATTGTCAAACTGTAAAGAATTAAAGATCTTACTTAATGTATGTAGTTAAGTAATATTTATCTATCATACAAATATGTGTATTTTATTTAATATTACTGGTTCTTTTGTTTTAGCAGGCAGATGATAATTACTAATCTGTTTATTTTTGATCTGATCAAAGTTGATATACATGTATGACTTTACATTATGTTTTTTTCATAAAGACACTGATTAGAAATGATAATCTAACCATTTAAATGTGGATTATATATTATGATACAATGTACTTGTAATATGTTTGTAACAACATACATGCAGTCTCCTATAATTCTTTATAAAATGTCCATTTACATGTATTTTAAGCTTTTTAAATGTGTATTTCTATTATATGTACATGTATTGGATGAGACTTAAATAAGTTAGTAAACATAAAGTGAGGTAAAACAGGTAAATCAGATTTTGTACTTGCATCTGTCACTCAGTCACTAATTTTGAGAAAATCTTATCATGTATTGAACCTAAGATATATAAACTTTGAGGAACGTTTACATTAAAATTTAAAGTTGTAACTTCATATGACATCAATGGTGCTAGATATTATAATAATCAAACAAAACATTGATTTGTAAAGTCATTTAATGTTACCATGTCTAGCTTTGGAATACAGCTGTAAAATATCAGTTTATGATATTTAAATGTAAAACGCTGTTCAGGGATTTGTCAAACTGTATGGATGTGCCAACTGACATTGCTCATTACTGATTGCTTTGACCTTTCATTAAATAATCCATGTCCAAAAGAGTCAAAGTAAATAAAATATACACTTGTAATTATTATTTGTTTCAACTGTCACTGGTAAAAATGTAAACAAACAAGAGCTGTCACAGGAGACCGCGAAGCTCGACTAATTAAATACTGGACGCAGTAAGGAAGACAAAACTATGAAAGAAAAATCAAATATGATATAAATATATTTCTCCTTATGACAGTTAGAAGTTATAGTTGTTAACATAAATTCCAAGTTCAAGGGGGAACAATTCTGGAAATAGTCACACTAGAGTTATGGATATTGTCACACATCATGTGTGTAATGATAAGAAATATATATTTGAAGTTTGGAGAAGATACCTTAAAAAATAAAGAAGTTATAATGAAGAAACCTTAAAAAATAAAGAAGTTTTTTTCATTAATATACTTCTTTAAAAAAATTCTAAGTTCAAAGGTAGATAAACCTGTAAGTATCTCTGCAAAAATGATGATAAGGAATATGTACTTGAAGTTTGAGGTAGATACCTTTAAAACTAAAGAAGTTATCATAAAAAATTACATTTTTCAAGTAAAAAAACATCTAAGTTCATGGGGAGATAACTCTTGCAATATTGGTGTTAGAGTCACATAAGATATGGTTAATTATAAGGAACATATATTTGAAGTATGAAGTTGATCGCTTAGAAAATAAAGAATAAGCAGCAAAAAATAATACTTTTTAAGGAAAATTCTTAGTCCAAGGGGAAATAAATCTGAAAATATTGGTGCTAGAGTTATGAACCTTGTCGCATAAGATGTGGTTGATGATAAAGAAGATATATTTGAAGTACGAAGTTGATACCTTAAGAAATGAAAAAGTTATCGTAAAGAATAATATTCTTTAAGGAAAATTCTAAGTTCAAGGGGAGATAAATCTGAAAATATTGATGCTAGAGTTATGAACCTTGTCCCATAAGATATGGTTGATGATAAGGAACATTTGAAGTTAATAACTTAAGAAATAAAAAAGTTAAAGTGAAAAATATTCTACTGCACCAAAAGTTTAATCTGAAATCTGGATGCAGACGCCGATGCCGGGGCAAGTAGGACATCTCTCAATATACTTTGTATAGTCGAGCTAAAAATCACCAAATTACATCAATCATTTGCAATGTCATTTTATTCATACCTCCTTATTACAGTACTAAAATAAGTTGCATTAAACAGTGCCAATACACATTATCTTTTATGTATGTTGAAATAGAAAGTTTACATATTGCCATTGCACAGCTACATGTATTGTTTGCTGTTGTTCAACTTTGCATTTCAGTACCTTACAGTCATTACTAATTGGCCTAATCTAACTACATGTACTAAGTAAATTAAAATAAATTAAAAGAAATATGGAGCTGAAAAAAAACTCAATGTCTTTTAACAAAAACTATTACTATTTGAAAATGCTGGTCAACACAATAATACAGTTTTCATCACAGCCTGTAATCTGAGTAGAAATGGGAGAGGTATAAACAACTATTGTATAATATATATTGATCAAAACCTCAAGAATCATCTCATTTAAAATAGAACATTATGCTAATCCCATCAACACATTCTACAACGCCGACTCAATCTGGTACTGATGCAGATAAATATGTCCCTTCCTTCTACCTGAATTTGTCCAATTCATGATTATACATGCATTAACACATTGAATGTGCTAGCTGCTTGCCTGTACCACAATTGCCTGTAACACAAAAACAGAGTTGGGCTAGATTGGTTATCTGCATGGTCTGTCTGTAAATTGTTGGCTGAACAGGAAGGATAATCTGTTATCTAAAGCCCTGAAAATATCTTGAAAATTCTTAATTCAAATCAACACTATTCCATTACACAAACTTAGCCCAGAAATTGTGAAGACCAACAAGCAGATCCTGTGGATAAAACACATAACACTTTATCATCATTTCACAGTGATTTCAGCAGATGAGTCAGAAACGTTTCTTGATTTTTTGACAGGTTCATTCTGTAACTGTTGAGCATATGCCTCTCTGATAATCTTAAATGCTTGCAGTGTAGCATATGGAGTATGAGTTATAGGGTCAAAATATTTGGCAGGTAGACGTGTAACTGGACAAAACTGTTTTACAGGAGGTTTCGATCTTTTCTCCGGAAAGTAGTCCTTGATTATACGTTCATCAGTAAATGTAATAAATGAACGTTCACATTTTTCTCCCGTATCAACAGGCTCTTTGTGTGCTGATTCTTCCCTGAAATAATACAATAATTCATACAAATAATACATGCCTTAATCTATATAATGGCTTCTAAATGTTTACACTTTTGTCTTGGAAAAATTAAACAAAAAGAATTGTACAAATATTTGTTATTTATTTCAATTCATGCTAAAATACTTGTTATGTATGCTGTTGTGTTTTGTTGTTTTATTGTTTTTTGGGTTTTTTTCACATTTGTTTTTAAATATTTCAGTTAATGTCAGTTACATAAAGTGTGCTATCATTGAATTTGTGAATATATTTTTACATTATGTACAACCAACAAGTAGATTTGACATGATTAAGATTTAACACAGATTTATAGACAGTGAGATTTTATATCTATCCTAAAATGTAACAAATTCTTACTGTTTACAGAAATCATTACACATTTTAATGTTACAAAACTGACCAGACAACTTACCAGACAGGCAAAAGATTTGACAAAAGGGTGGCTCTAAATAAGTACAGATAGAAAGAACCAGCTTGTCACTATAATGCAGTAACAGGTTCACTCTTATTGATTTTTAATCCTTTACAACACTATGGTAAGGAATTATGTGATATATGTAAGCATAATAACACAGATTGTACTAATAACAAATCTATAGACGAAATGATAATAAAATAAAATCAACTAGACTCACATGTCATCATCATCATCTGGAATTTCTTCAATCAGTGGCATTGTTAGTGAGTGATATCTAATTACTGGTCCCTTCTGTGTCTGCTTAATTGCTCGCCGACTTTTCTTCTCTAACTCTAAACGTTGGTAATTTTCTAAAACAAAGTTTACATGACATGATCAGCAAGGAAATCTAAGAAGAAGAGTATGTTACAATAAAATTTTCATAAAATCTTCAGCAATTAAATACATGTAAATGTCTTGAGCAAAATAAATTTTAGTGTAGTTCTTAATATTTGCCTGATTAAGATATTACACAATAACAAAGTACATATAAATATGAATACAAGAAAGCTGGAAGTAAGATTTATCAAACACACACTTTAATTTCAGAACAGATTAGCTCAAAAAGGACAGTGTTTACAGGCATATATATATACTCATCCTAGCAAATAATAAGTTACTTTACAATCAATCAGCGTGCAGTAAAAAATGTTCATGATTCAGATTGATAAAACGTTTCATACCTAGAGACTGCATGTTCAATTCCTCGGTAATTTTAGCTTCCTCCAGAAGTTCCTCCTGTGTAAGTCTTCTAACCTCCGCCACTCGTTTCTGTGTTGCAATCTCTTTTAACATTTTTTGTTTCATCTCTCGTTCTTTCTCTCTCTCCGCTCTTTCCTTTGATCTTTCAGATGTTGATTTTCTAAGAGATTTCTTTTCTACAGTAGAAACAATATATGTCTATTATTATGTTTAATAGACTATATCATGTAGAACAAGTATCTTAGACAGGACAGCTTACTTTTAATTATTTAGCTGTTAGTGGTATTATATACAAACCCGTGCCAACAACTCTGAGTAAGGTCATCTTATATATTACCAGTGTGTATAGACTCTTTACTGTCAACTGTTCAATATTTTAATTTTTTTTTCTTCTGTCAGACATATCTACTATCTACTACAATTATATGCAAAATTGTACAATGCACCCGATAAAAAAGATAGAAAATGTCTAGGAATTGCAATGTTTGAGCTTTTAATCTGGAATAAAAGACAAAACAATGAAGTTATATATGAACAACTTGTAATTTCTGACCCAACTTTGCAGAAACTGTAAAAGACTTTTCATATGGAATTGATACTACAACCCCTTTAAATATTTACCTGGACTAGACTGATAAATCTGTATAGAAGGTGGAGGCTTGGATTTTCTCTTCTCAGGTTTTTTCTTTGGTTCACTGGTTTTTGGAGCAGCTGGTTCCTGAAAATGCAGTAAGATTTATTGTTTGTTATATTCATTCTCCTTTAAAACATTTCAAATACACGGTATGTTCTAGTTAGGTTAGTCTTCAGAATGATATAAAAAAAAGTTCATGTACATATAAAGTAAATAAATTTCTCTTTTATTTTATGCCTTATAAGTATAAAAACATCAATTTGATGTTGAAAATATTTTTCTAAGATCACAAAGCACCATACTTGTAAATCATTTAAAATTAATGCAAGATTTATGGACCTTGGACATTCAATAATTATTATGATCCCACAGATATATATTTAGTTTCAAGTGAAAACCTTTTGAAGTTTTGAAGACTGATGTTAAATAACTGATAACATTCTACAGGGTAGTGTTTAATTTCAGTACAACTTCAAGAAATGACATTATATACAAGGTTACCTTGTAAGCCTTTGTACTAACACCACCTCTCTTCTTTCTCTTGGGCTCATCATCTTCCATATCACTCTTCACTTCATCATCCTCATCTATATCTATGTCGGAATAATCTACATCACTTTCTGATACCTCAGATTCATATTCCTTGTCATCCTCTTCCTGAATAAACATTTGATAAAGTTCTAGTCTGTTATAATCATAAATTGTATGCAATGTTACAACAGTAAAGGACAATAAATAATTCATCAACATATCAAAAAAAGCTTATTTCAAACATATGAAAATATTTGATAAACTGATTTATGTAAATATTTTCATGCTTAATGATAACTAAATCTATGCTACAGAGATGTTCCATTTTCAATCTGGAATGGTCCTTAGTTAGTTTATATACACACATGTACAACCTGTAATAAATGATCAGCTTGAACAGTAACTATCTCAATTTTACTAATACAGTATCAGCGTTTTTTCTCTCTACTTTGGGAATGGTGCCGGTACCAGACTGATTGGGTAAAAATGCGTTATTTTGACTTATATTGGGAATATTTTTTAATGCATTTTTTCAGCTACAAATAAGATTAATCATCATACAAGTAAATAAAGATAGCTAACAGCTTCCACTGTCAAGGTAGAACTATGAAGTGGTGATTTATATGAATATGTTGGATTTAAATAATTTCAGATAAATTTCTTGGCCTTGTGGGAATTTTGAACATCAATTTTGGTAATTTAAACATTGGAAATTAAAAATTTTAATGTCTATTTTCTATTGGGAACAGTACCGTTTTAGGTTAGTAGTTATATAAAGAAAAAAAACACTGAGTATAACAGATACAGTTACTTTTACTACCTTTACTTTAACATTACAAAGCAAACATTAGTATTATACAGTCTATAAACATTATTTATTTCATCTCTGATATATATATTTACCTCATTAAATCCTCCATAAGTTGTTGTATAGAATTCATCTTCCTCCTCTGCCTCCAGCAGAGATGACATCTTACTGCCAGCATTGCTTCGCTTTTCTCTTCCTGCAGCTAGGCCAGACATTCTTAAACTCTGTAATTCATTAATAATTATTTTGTTACTTTGCAGTTACAATGGCCTACATTTATGTATAAGCAGTTATTTATTTAACTACAATTTGTACAAAAATCTTGAAATATGAATATTGAAATAATGTCAACAATGGATCGATGTTCTAATATATACATGTTTGTACTTTTAGCCGTTAAATCACAACAATTTGACAAACTAGCAGTTTAAAAACAGCTTGATTTATATTATTTTGGCATAGATATATCGATTTAACTCAAAGATATGGAAAACGACTCATATTTTTTCACTCGATATACCACGGTTATAAATCGTCTATTAAAAAGAGATATAAGAATGTGTTATTCTGGTCAGATTTCGCAATAGGTCTTATCATCTACATCTACATGTTACTCCCGAACAACCAATTCTGACTATGACTGGGAGGCGCTTGTCAGGAAAACTGTGTTAAAAGTATTAGGTGCATACTAAAAGATAAAGATCACAGATAAAAAAAAAAAAAAAAAAAAGAAAGAGTGCAAGATTAAAAACATACTTGGGGTGGGGACTAGAAGGTAACTGTCGCCAACCTATCCTTGAAGGCATCTAGGTTGGAACTGGATTTGACCTGATACGGAAGGCTATTCCAATACCTGAGAGTTCTAGGGAAGTAGGAATTTAGATGATATTGGGTACGGGACTGGGGGATCAGGAAGTTCAGATTTCTAGTTGGGGTCAGATGGTTATGGTCAACATATACAAGTTTGTATTGGATTTTATAGAACACTACAAGAGAGGACTGGAGTCTGCGGCTTTCTAGGGAAGGCCACCCAAGTTCATTTAGCATTTGGGTTACACTACTGTCGAAATTATAATTATTACAGACATATCTAGCCACAGCTCGTTGGACACTTTCAATCTTATGACTTAAATGTTTCTGCCAGGGGTGCCATATGGTGGAACGGTATTCTAATTGCGGTCGAACATAAGTAACATAGGCTGATGTTTTGAGTTGCCTGTTTTGGATTTTGACGTTTCTCTGGATGAATCTTAGAGAATTTTTGGCCTTGGAGGTGATGTTATTAATATGCTGTGTCCAGTTAAGGTCTTTAGAGATAGTAACTCCAAGGTACTTTGCAGATTCTGCTGATTTGAGAGTTTTATTATGGAGGGTGTATGGAAAGATGGTGGGGCTCTTTTTACGGGTGATCCTCAGCATCTCACACTTGTATCCAAACATTTGATGCCGCAACAGATGAAAGAAACAAACGTTTAAAAGTCACACGTATTTTTTGTCTAGAACAAATATGTAAGCGACAAAAAAAACCCATATTTGTTAATAATATTCCTGCAAAATTATTTTGTTAAAAATTTAGAAAAATATTCCCTCGCGAAAACTTGTGACAATATGAAATAAGTCACCTTTCACATATATTATCAAAATGACAAATACACCTATCGATGTTCTATATATTCTTCTTCAAACAGTTTTAATATTTTCACCTATTATATGGAAGTTTCTTTAGAATCTTACTTTAAAAATGGAAATTGTTAGACGCCAAATTCACCGGAAGTGAGTGAATAACGGATACTTTCGGTGTTTATCCACCAATTTCATGAAAGTAAACAAACTGAATTTTGGGTGAAAATGTTGATTTTTAGTAAGTAATCGACGTCAGATAGATGTTACTTTTGCTATGGAGGGAGCAGAGAACAGAGTAAGTTAAGTGGTATCTTTAGTTTTACGCCAAACTGCATGTCATTTATAGAAAAACAAGTATAAAATGATCATGAAGGTAATGCATGATCAAAAAGGTCTATGCCCTATGTCTATAAACTGGTATATGTTTCAGTTTTACTGCTTACTCTATTTATTTTCTTTATTGGATCTTTGTTGATTGAAGAGCAGACTAAATGCATATATAAATAAATGAAAACTTCCAATTTCACATCTGTACAAATGTTACTCTTCAACTGTACCACTTAAGTCTCAATATTTCAACTGCAAGACAGACCGAATTATAATCTGATATTTCATAGATTTCTGTCTTTACGTCTCAACCAGTTACTATCAAACCCGTGTCGGAATCAAGCTGAGCAAAATTTCAAATTTTTCACTGCAACATGAAAATTTTCACACTGGCATGCACATTTGTTGTTATAAACCATACATTGTCCTTTAAAGAATCACAAAATGACAAAAATAATTTAAATTACCAAAAAAACTTTAAAATGGTATCTGTCGCTGAAATGTAAACAGCGAACGTGATAACCAATGAAAACGTTTGTTTTCATTTAAACATATTAGTACACCACTGGTGATGAATATATACTTCAAAATTATATTCTCGTACCATAATGTCGCCGGAAAAATCACATAGTTTTAACAGCGAAAACCTGCAAGATCCCTCCGACAAAATTCCAGGACAAGAATTAATTGACATCAAAACATTTAAATATTTGTAAAAGAAAATTAAAGCATGGTCCAAAGTTTCTAGTATTCGTTTACCCGGTTGTGATCTAATTCAAGATATTTTCTAATCATATTGAATAGAAAAAACAAATTAAAAACAAGCGCCATCAAAGTGCACTTTTTCCCTATTCCTTCCGATACAACTAGAATTGAAGTACCCAATAGTTTAATGAAAGATAGTCATGCAGATCCTTTTGTCCACAGCGTTTAAATTTTGTCCAGAGCAGGGAAATAATTATTTCACGCGGAGAAATTAATGACCCCTTGCTTTGTATTTGAATGGTTTTTAAGTTAATTCAATTCTAGCGCAACGTATCGTAAGTTGATAGTCCATCTGTGATAAAAGTAATGAAATTCAAATCTTGGATACATTAAATGAAAGAGAATTTAAAAGAATAATTTACTAGTTTTTTTTGTAAATATTAAAAACATATGTATACAACATGACTTACAGTGGAGGATCGTATCGTATCGGGGGGAAAAGACAGATGGTTGTAGTTATTCAGCGCGCAAATTGTTTAGGGCATGGTTTCAGTTGTGCTTTAAATTATCAACAGAATTTATGAAATATTTTAAAGTGATATTTGCCTGTGAAGTGATTGATGTTTATAATATCTTTCTTCCAGTCTAATTCATTTAACCCTTTCCCCCATGAGCATATTGTGAAAAATGGCCGTTTTCACTGAAAAGCCTCCTCACAGTTACAAGTTCAAACTGCTATGAAACTATGAAAAATGCTTCAATACTAATCAAACTTGGCACAAATGTTGACTGGACCATTGCCTTTGTAACGACATGCTCAGTCTTAAATTTCCTGTTACCATGGCAACGAGGGGACATCTCAAAATTGCCAAAAATCACTATTTTGCCTCGATTTTTTCCATCAAAATTTATTTCAAAGTGCTGCAACTTCTCAAGGGATTGAAATAGAGTCAAAGGCTTTTCAGCGTTGGTTACACGTTACATTATGATCGACTTGGGGTCATTTTTAGCCTCTCACAAGTCCAAAATTTTCTTGGCGAAAACATGTGTTTGGGGCCCAAATAGGACATTTTTTCACTATTTGAGGCCTAAAAAATGGGGTGGGGGGGGGTCGAAAGTGTGTTGTTTCGCGTATATATGAGGTAAAGGGTTAAATAAATGAAATTGGAAAATTATAAATAAAAAAATCGCCGAAAAATCGTATTTTACAGCTCTTGAAAGATAAGCAAAGTAAATGTAAAATTTCTCCGCATAATCTTCGTTTACAACAAAAACTGGAAAAAAAAACTCTGCTATTTATAACACAATAGAACTTATACCTTGGTTTTCTTACATATATGCGGAAAATGATCAGACATTGATTTAGGGGATATTCCTACGTTATCATGTGAAAGAGTGGATGAAATAACCGATTGCGTTACTGAAAAAAAAATGTATTTCTAAATCACGTTTTCTTGATATAAGGAAACAATCTTCTAATTTTAAAATGTTTATTATTATCTTCATTTTCCTGTAATGATTTGTAGATTGTGTAAGAAAAGAAATAGATATTAAACAGCAAACTTGATAAACGAAACATTGGAGGTTGATACACTTTAAGAAATTTATAGTTATTTATCAAGTTTCCACAGTGGTTTGAAATCTTCGTACCAATAATAATAATAATAATAGTAATTAAAATAATAATAATAATAATAAAAGGAAAACGTGTATCTTTGCCGGAGATCTCTTATTTTTTAGGCCATCCTTAAAAAAATGTTTGTTTGCAGTAACCCGACCCAGAATTTTCAAGGTGGGTAGGTAGGTCGATTTTTTTTTTTTTTTTTTTATTGAACTGTACTCCCAAATAAACATGGAATTTCAAAATGCTGGACAATATATGCTTTGATAATCTGGTAACAATAAATAAATTGATAACTGAATTCTAATTTAATAAGACCTAAATTTTATTTCTTCTATTAACCTTTAAAAGAACGAAAACAAGCACAAGGCATAATTTTCTAATTCAAAAAAATTTTTTTTTTATCCAGACCATGAAAAAAAATTTTGAGTAGGGGCAAATTTTGTGAGTCGGTCGCGTTACTGCAAACAAACATTTTTTTAAGGATGGCCTTAGGGTTGTTTTGTTGTTGTTCTTTTTCTGGTAATACAGAATTGAGTAGCCCCATTCATTATGTTGGTACTTTTTACGAAGTGATGCAGATGTTACAAATAACTAACAAACTTTATAAGAAATATGTATACATTCTTGTCAGTTTTAATATAATATACATAATTATAGATAATTGCAAAATGACAGTATCAATGCCCAGGACGTGTGTATTAATCTATACTAAACGTTTGAGTTATTGCCTGGATTCCCTAGCTCCAGATCTTCACTAATTTATTCACTATATAAAGGACTAAATAAAACATTTGCAGACGAAACAACCACAAAACCAGTTTCCATTTGGCGAGTTAACAATGGCATTCCCACAGTCCATACTGCAAGCTAGTGAGATTAATCGATAAACTACCGTTAGGTAGAGTTTTAGCTGTGTAAAACAAAAAAGTTGACATGAGTAGGAATTTGTAAGCGTTGTGCATTAAAAACATATAACTTTCTGATCAATTTTCTCTTAAATTGATTCTATTTTGAATAAGCTTTGCAGGTATGTAATTTTTTTCAAGAAATGTTGAGTTTAAATATATATTTGAAGCCGTCAAAGTTAGCGACGAGATTCTGGTCGCTGGCACATATACAAAAAAGGAAAGCTTTAGGGCTTTTTTTATATAGACGATGGTCGCCCTTCGCGCACAATTTGTTGGGCTACTGTACCACTATATAGTGATACTTGGAAATTTCCACAAATTATTATTTGGACATCTATGCTCATCAGTTCTCATACTGCTCTAGTATTCTTAAGCAACAGAATTGATTAACTGACAAAAATATGCATCCTTTTGTGATCACAAGCTGCTAAGCTTTACCTGTTACATCTTAAACTAACTTAGCCCAACAAATTGTGTGCTTGAGGGCTTTTTGTATTTTCTGATCGAAGATCAGTAAATACAAAGCTAACATCACAGAAGTTTCACGACAAACCTAACAACAAGTAGTTCTCAAAACAGCTTAAAATTGGCGATTTAAAAGAAAGAAATATTTTTATTTTGTTATAAGTATCCAACAAATTACAACGCATTCAAAGTTTAAAAGTAGCGTTGGCTTATAGAATTGTCAATAAATGCACAATCACAAATTACGCGGATGAATATGATTTTAATCAATGAAAATGCGATTTTTAGCGATGCCGATTACCGAATACTACACAAATAAATCTGACTGCTGAGTATTGGAATATATAGGTTCTACAAGTCGGACTGTTTGGGCGAGAAGATTTTCGCTAAATTATTTACTTCAATTTTAAACAACAGGTTTATCCTGAACAAAATACCTTGAAATTGATAAGGATTACAAACCCGAAATGCAATGGAAGTTCTAAATTTAGAATGACTTGATTTTATTCAGGCATCGTTTGCATAACTTCTCCGTGGTGATGGGGTAACGCGCTCGTTAAGTGTGTAAGAGGTCTGGAGTTCAAATCCCAGTCACGGCAACTTTTTTTAAAATTATTTTTTAAGTGTCTTTGTTAAGGAAGTACCCCATGTAGAAAGGGATAAAGTGGGGCTTTTCATAAAAAATAAAAAAAATGTTTTTTTTATGCAATTCTATTTATTGCAAATTCCCTTTATGTAAAACTCTGGTGCCTTGTAAGATAAATTTTGTACATAAGAATAAATTAAAAGGGAAAAATAAAATAAGATTACGTAGATTTAGATTGAAAAGATCAGAAATACCACAGAGCTTGCGGGCCCTTGTTTAATATAGACATGGTCGCCCTTCGTGCAGAAGAAAATCTATAAAATATAGTTTAAAAATTTGGGGCCGTCTTGCAGTCAAAATATTGAGAAAAACAAAACGGCACAAGTCATCTAGGTAAAGAGTAAATTTGGGTCCTATACCAATCGAACGGGTCCCCCTCACCCCACTTTAAAAAAAAACATTAAGCGTGTAAACTTTTTATGATATTTGCATGTTATGATCAAGGCAAGCTGTTTTAAATGAAAAATAAGAGATATCTGGTATATTATTATATAATTGTACATTGTACTTCTGCAGAATTAAAGTATATTTAGAGGAAATTCATTATGTTTAATCTTGCCCTATACAAACTCAGCATGGGTTAAGAGAGCCCATATTTTCATCACTTGCTTTAATAATAAGGCTCTTCTGTTTTCATCAAGCATTTTCAAAATAATGTTCATTACACACAGTAAGAATGGAGATTTACAAATGTTTTTGAGGAATGTTATATTCATATTTGTTAGAATTTTTTTTATACCTTTGTTATATTTGTTTGGCAAAATAATTTTTAAATGGAATTGCCGGTTGAACATAATAAATTTCTGGGCATTTTTATCAGTGGCAGAAATAAGGCCTTATTCCCAATTTAAAAAAGAACAATTTATCAACAGCAGCCAAAAATTATCAAACTGTATCTATCTGAGAAAAATTGCACTGTTTTAAATTATTATTTAAAAAAAAAATTAACTTTTAAAATTTTCCGAAATGTCAAATAATTTCCCAATTTAATTCAATTATGCAAAGGACCTTAGTTTAAATTTATAATCTGACATTTATGTAAATGAACATACAAATGGCATTTATAATTATAAGATCGTAGTTAAGTTACCTCATTCTATCTCCAAATCAAAATGAAATGTTATCTAGCAATAAATATACCAATTATATTCAAAATGTACCTAAATACATGTATTTACCTTTTTTAGTAAGGTGAGTCATCACTTAAATGTGGGTGAATCTTCAGTTCGGCACATTGTTATACATTACCCCAAATGCTTGTCTAAATGATTTTATTTCTGTAGTAAAGGTAACATTTTATTAATATTTTTGTATAAATGTTTTTAGAAGATTTTAAGTGTACTAAATGCCACAATGCATAAAAAGCTAATTATGTCATAGATATATTTCATTGGAAACTTTAACAGTACACCAGAAATAATAAGATTTTGAAAAACAAAAGTTAAGTAATCTTATTTAGGATTAATGGGCCTTTAATGATTGCTGTTACTTAATTAAATAAAAGTGCAGTAACAATTATTTGCTTTGAATTAAACTCATACTGTTCATCAAATGTATTGAGTCCCTGATATTTTTACTGCAATTTTTGGGACAGGTTTGTTTTTGTTTTCTTTTTTATTTATTTCTTTTATGCTGATTTAAATACATTTTTTTGTCGTTTCTTGGTGGTAGATCTAACAGACTTTCCTGGATAACTAACCAGTGGTAACCAACCAATTCTTTAGCAAGAAATTGACTGCTAATCATTTGAGAAACAAATGACCTTTAGACTCAGTTGTCACAGAGAAATAATGTGTGGTCTAAGGATCAAACCATGGACCCCAGGATTAGCAATCTGATGCTCTCCCTATTGAACTTACTGGGCAGACAGTTTTGAAGAACATTAAAAGACAGCCACAATAAATGTTGATTATACATGACTGTATTGTATGAAACTTGTTATTGTTTACAATATGATAAATGGAAAACAGTAAAACAGCAACATGATAAATAGAGAAAAATAAAGCTGTAAACATTCAAATGTTAATAATTTTGTGTATCATTATTTGAATATTTCAGGCAATTCAGGCACGTGATGTGTATGTGTTGATGAAAAAGGACTACCGAATTTCCAGAAATATCAGAGCATTATGGTTTTTCCAGCATCTTAATACATCTTTAGATTTTGAACCACAAGAACATCTGGTATGTTAAACTTTACCTCACAAATCTTTAATTATTGACTTGCAATACTTTTGATTTAGAACTGTTTCTTGGTATTTGAAGGGTTTCAATATCACAAAGCTTGATTTAAGCCCGAAAACAGTAAAAAGCTTAACCAGGTTGCTTTGCTTGCACATTAGCTGCTTTCAGTATAACCAAATTCTTACATTAATTTACAGAACAACCTTACTCATATCAGAATTGTTCTGTAAATCTTCTGTATTTTGCAGTTGAAGTTAAACTGTTTAATGCAATCATGATATTAAAAAAACATTGCATCATTTACACAGTTTTATTTACTGCATATTAAAGATACATGTTCAAATGTATATCAAATAGTTAATATCCTTTCCTTGGAAAACTTTGTAGGAAGATTTTAATGTAGTTTTTATAACTGTATGCAAATAAAGAAATAATGAATTGTGATTCATGATTATGGAATTAATGTTGTATGTTAAAGACTTTATGAATTGGTTGCAGGTTGACACATCTGATGAGTTACAGGTTGCCTCTGTCGTGTCTGACGATGGTACACAATGTGTGCTGGGACAGAAATATAGTGTGGCGCTGTTGCCCAGTACCATGGTGACATTTATAGCTCGACGTTACAGATTTGTTATTATACTTGATGTCAGTCCGTCTGTCAGCTCAGTGGTATATATCTAACTTTATTACCAGCTCAGTGGTAGATATCTAACTTTATTACCAGCTCAGTGGTAGATATCTAACTTTATTACCAGCTCAGTGGTATATATCTAACTTTATTACCAGCTCAGTGGTAGATATCTAACTTTATTACCAGCTCAGTGGTAGATATCTAACTTTATTACCAGCTCAGTGGTAGATATCTAACTTTATTACCAGCTCAGTGGTATATATCTAACTTTATTACCAGCTCAGTGGTAGATATCTAACTTTATTACCAGCTCAGTGGTAGATATCTAACTTTATTACCAGCTCATTGCTTCATTTTTTTCTACTAATATCTAAATTAATGTGTAGTACTTTTGAAAAGTATGAAATTAAATAAATTGTAATATATATGAAGTTTGTTTAAATCTTTCCAAAGAAAAAACAACAAAAGACAACTAGAGCCAGGAAATCAATTTAATAATAATTGTTGCTAAAAAATACTTCAACTTAAATAAAAATAAGAAAGAAATAAACTAACAGAATGACAAAACCAACAAAATTGGTTTGTGACCACCATGGATCCAGACCAGCCTGAGCATCCGTTCATTATCAGTTTCTCTACTTGTAATAGAGTTGGTAAGCGAACAGCATGGATCCTGATCAGACTGTGCGGATGCGCAAGCTGGTCTGGATCCATGCTGGTTGCAAACGCATAACGTTGGTTTTGTCTTGATGCGGCGGCTCAAATAAACTAACAGAATGACAAGCAAACATGAATTTACCATTATATAGAAAACATAACAAACCTCACAATTACAAAAATTCATTTTAACTAGTAAGGACTAAAAAACTTTTAACCAGCGAAACAAATTTATATATCCAGAGGTCAACTTGATACAGATAAAAGCTTTACCATTTGCAAAATAAGTATATTAAATTACCCTAAATGTTGTTAGCTTTATGGAAGACACCATTTACAGTTCATTTTGTTTTATTGTACTGTTGGCTCTAAGTTGTAATTGTTAAGATTCTTCATCTAGTTTACAAAATGAATGATAGCAGTTTTGTAACATGTTCTGAAGGGAACAAAATGTTTTTTTCTACCATGAAAGTTAGGATTGTCTAAATGGTTGAAAGCTTGTGTTACATTAGAGAAAGAAAGAACAACATAAACTAGATATACTAAATGCAGAATAATTTGAGCTGCGCCATGACAAAACCAACATAATAGGTTTGGGACCAGCATGGATCCAGACCAGCCTGCGCATCCGTGCAGTCTGATCAGGATCCATGCTGTTCGCTATTAGTTTCTCTACTTGTTATAGGGTTTGTAAGCGAAACAGCATGGATCCTGATCAGACTGGTCTGGATCCATGCTGGTGGCAAACGCATTATGTAGGTTTTATCATGTTAAAAATGACATGTTACTTATACATAACAATGTAGTTTATCATTATGTATTTGAAAAATTGAAGGTAGTCTAAATAAAATATGTGGGTTTTATTTACAGGATACTAGCAATTGTTCTGTACTGTATGAAAAAGTTCACACAACTCTGTCTAACTTTCTGAGAGGACTCGTTCTGCCAGTAAGTGCATTTCTTATTATTATGCCCCTTGAAACATGTGAGATTATTTTTTTGCTCTTTTTTTATTTGTCTACAAACAAATTTAATTTGGATGATGATTCCAGGTACTTCATTATATAAGCTAAAAGCCTTCATATTTGTGAACAGCATTCCAAGTTTTGAGGTTTTAAAATATGTTCAAATCCTCTAAATAACATAAATCTTCAAAATAAAGCTTTTCAAATTTAATTTATCTCCTTTATTTTAATCTGTTCACAGATTTAGGATTAGGTTATATTTAATTTATGAAAACATCTTGTTTGATACAACTTTTTTTGTGTCAAGAACAGTTTTCAATAAAAAGAAAGTTGTACTTTCTTAAATACTTACAGGTCAGTGTTTTGTTTTTGTGGTAAATTTGAATTTTTCCCTATTAAAAATAATCCTGTTTTGGAAAGTGGACTTTCCATGTTGATTGCAGTAATTTCATATGAAGATAAAATGTACATGAGCAGCTAACAGACTAGCAGACTAGCCTGCTTGTAGGCCTTCTTTGATTGCCACTAGCACACAAAAACATGTAGGAAACATTAATAAGTTGGAAATTTTTTTTTACCAGTTTCAGATTCCAGGCTCGACAGCAATGCTGAGTCCAGAAATTCACATAACAGTGATAGCTTATACACCTGTCAAAAGTTTTACCTTTAATCAGGTACACATATTTTATTTCTTACATGTAATAATTTTTATATCCAATTACTAATGAATTTTTATACGCCCGTTTGAAAAACGGGACGTATTATGGGAACGCCCCTGGCGGGCAGGCGGGCGGCGTCCAATTTTGTCCGGAGCATATCTCCTACATGTATGGAGGGATTTTAATGAAACTTCATAGAAATGTTCACCACTATGAGGAGCAGTGTCGCGCACATGAACCAGGTCTCTAGGTCAAAGGTCAAGGTCACACTTAGAGCTCATTGAAAAGTGCTTGTCCGGAGCAAAACTTCCACATGTATAAAGGGATTTCAATATTACTTGGCACAAATGTTCACCATTGTGAGGCGGAGTGTTGCGCGCAAGATTCAGGTCCTTGCGGCCAAGGTCAAGGTCACACATAGAGGTCAAAGTTCAGATAAGAATATGAAGATGTGTATATGGACCATTTAGTCATCATTATTGAGAGGGGATTGTAACACAAATGGTCATTATCAAGACTATTGCGCTGTGATACATATAATTTAGGTCAATATATACAAGGTCAAGGTCACTAAAGATGATGAAATATCCAGATTTTTGTCCGGAGCATATCTCCTACACGCATGGAGGGATTTTAACGAAATTTCATAGAAATGTTCACCATTATGAGAAGACATGTCACGCACATGAACTAGGTCTCTAGGTCAAAGGTCAAAGGTCACACTTAGAGCTCATTGAAAACGCTTGTCCGGAGCAAAAACTTCCACATGCATAGAGGGATTTCAATATAACTTGGCACAAATGTTCACCATTGTGAGCGGAGTGTCGCGCACAAAATTCAGGTCCCTGCAGCCAAGGTCAAGGTCACACATAGAGGTCAAAGTTTAGATAAAGATATGAAGATGTGTACAGGGACGATTTAATCATCATTTATTGAGGGATTGTAACACAAATGGTCATTATCATGACTACGGCTGTGACACATGTTACTTTAGGTCAATATATGCAAGGTCAAGGTCACTAAAGATGGTGAAATATCCAGATTTTGTCTGGAGCATATCTCCTACATGTATGGAAGAATTTTTATAATACTTTCTGGGAAATGTTCACCACCATGATATGTATTGCTCCATGCATGATCCAGGTCTCCAGGTCAAAGGTCAAGGTCACACTTAGAGCTCATTGAAAAAACGCTTGTCCGGAGCAAAACTTCTACATTCATAGGGGGATTTCAATATAACTTGGCACAAATGTTCACCATTGTGAGGCTGAGTGTCGCACGCAAAATTCAGATCCCTGCGACCAAAGTCAAGGTTACACATAGAGGTCAAAGTTCAGATAAAAATTTGAAGATGTGTATAGGGACCATTTAGTCATCATTTATTGATGGATTGTAGCACAAATGGTAACTATCATGACTACAGGTGTGACACATTTAATTTAGGTTAATATTTGCAAGGTCAAGGTCACTGGAGATGATTAAATATCCAGATGTTGTCCGGAGCATATTTTTTCTACATGCATGGAGGAATTTTAATGTTACTTTATAGAATTTGTTCACCACCATGAGATGTAGTGCCTGCACATGAACCAAGTCTCTAGGTCAAAGGTGAAGGTCACAGTTAGAGCTCATAGAAAAACGCTTGTCTGGAGCAAAAACTTCTACATGCATAGAGGGATTTCAATATAATTTGCACAAATGTTCATCATTGTGAGGCTGAGTGCCGTGCATAAAATTCAGGTCCCTGCGACCAAGGTCAAGGTCACACATCCTGTGCATATCTTCCCTACTGATTTGTTTTAAGGTTCATTTAACAACACAGTGCCAAGAATAAAAACTTGCTTGCTAGATAACACTTATCCATAATGCCCCCATCTCCATCTAAAGCTTTCGTAAACGGGCGTATTTTGTGACTATGGCACCCTTGTTATTAATATTATTATGTTAATTCTTTAAACTTCCTTCTTGCTACTTCTATGCCAAAAAATGATGGCAATATAATCTTTCATCAATAAGATTTGCATGAATAGTGCCTCACTAAATAAGTTTTAAATGCCATGGCTGTAGTGAACACAAATGTCTGTCATAAGTTAGAACAAGTTGTTGATACTTGTGTACACAAGTGTTATTTTATAAATTTGAATTTTTTGGTTCAGTGTTTTAATTGGTTTTATGTCACACCAACACAGTATAGGTCATATGGCGATGTTCCAGCTTTACTGGTGGAGGAACAACTCAGATGCCCTTCTGTGCATTAACAGGCACCTGAGGAGAACCACCGACGTTCTGTAAGCTGGCTTGATAGCTTCCTCACATGAAAGAATCCAAAGTCCCTGTCGGAATTCGAACCCACAGTGGTGAGGGGCAAGTAGTTTGAAGTCAACAACCTTAACCACTCGGCCACAGACGCCCATTATTTTAGATAATTTATTCTATGACATCAAATGAGCCGCACCACGACAAAACCAACATAATGTGTTTGCAACCAGCATGGATCCAGACCAGCCTGCGTATCCGCACAGTCTGATCAGGATCCATGCTGTTCGCTTACAAACCCTATTACAAGTAGAGAAACTGATAGCGAACAGCATGGATCTTGATCAGACTGTGCGGAAGCACAGGCTGGTCTGGATCCATGCTGGTCGCAAACGCACTATGTTGGTTTTGTTGTGACACGGCTCAAATATACACTTTTATTACAGGTGTTGGCTCAGGGACTGGTGATAACATTTAGTAACATTGATAAACTGCTAGCGGAGATGGCCATCAAATTAAAAAAGTTTGAATCCACATTAGCTGATAATTTCAAAACTTGTCTTGAAAATACAAACTGTAACTTTGCAAGTGTAAGTAATAAGAAAAATTTGCTTTATTGGTTATGAAATGGTACAGGTACTATTTCTCATGAATAGTTCAAAGAAAAAGATTTAGACAAAATCTTAGAATTCTTAGGTACAATTCAATCCAAAAATTGCTACCTTTAACTCAGAATCTACAGGTACATGTATTTCACTATTTTTTTTCCAAAACTTATTAAAGCAGATGTTTAGAAAAATATGTAAAACAATCCAAATTGGATTCATATTTTTGTGAAATCTTAAAAGAAATACTTATGAAGTACAAGATTTGAAATAATTGAAGTTAAATGTACTGTAGGATACCATAAATTGCAGAAGAATGATTTGATAAGCACATGGTTTAAAGAATTTGTATGTTTGATATGGAGAGCTTTTGCTGATTTTACTTTCATTATTCAAATCATTCTATTTTAAATGATTTCACATTTTTATCAATAACACAGCAAATGTTATAAGTTGACATTGTTTTCCTTAAAAACAAATTTTCAGGTGCATTAATTTTGTAATTAAGGATCACAATGTGACCACAATTAAAATGTACAATGAATTGATATTATCCATTATTTAAATGCTATTTTTTTTAACACAATGTATTATTTTATGTATTAGAGTTACTATGATGTACGTCAAGTACAGGTGGAGCCTATAGGACCTCAGTTATCAAAGGATAATGATATAATAAACAATCCAGAGGCTGGCATCGTCAATATGATTAGAAGTGGAATGATGGCCTTACAACTGTTACCTGAAAACTCCAGTGCAGGTAACCTATCCTGTACCCTTAGCTTAACTGATAAAAAATATTAACTATAATTTTGATAAATTATATATTTAATGAACCTTTAAATATTCTATTGCAAAAATATATTTCAATATTTTTTTATATATTTAAAAGATTAGCTCCAGTTTGTATTTTTTTTTGAATTTCATTATCATATTCATAGAATTGTCTGACTTTGATGAAAATGATAATTGATCTTGTATGGTCATTTTACATATACTTATACAGTACAAGGCATGTATATAGAGTGCTTATAGTTTCAAAATTCTAAAAATCTTCAACATGTTTAGAAGTAAGCCACTATAACAGTATATTGTTTTCTCAAAGTATTAATTAGTTTTACTGTTGAAATAATTTTTGATATATGATAATTTTCTATGATAATTAGGTTTGGTGGTGATAACAGATGGTTGCCTTGGTGTACCTAATGCTAACCTGTTTGAGTTTTTATTAACTCAGTTAAGGACAAGCACTATAGCATGTACATTTCTACGTATCGGTGAAACTCGGACACCGTTTGGACATTTTGGCCATATACCTCATACTGAACTGATGCAGTTTATTTCAACAGCTACATTTGGATCTTATTTCGATACTTGCCCAAATGTGGTAAGCTTTTACAAAGTAATTTATAAATTATTTATATGCAAACATAAGACTTCATTAAGCCCCATAATGACATTATTTTTATTTCTCAAAAACCTTTTTCTTTCTCATGTCCTGTGACAACTCCGTTTCCAAACAACTACTCATTTCCCATATAGCCAAACTGTGTTTTGTGTCTTTTATTTTGGCATTAAGTTAAATATTAATGATTTTGTATGGAAGTCAAAAATATCACTTTGTTAATGTTTTGATGCTTTTATGAGAAATTATTTCACATTACAGTGCTACTTTTTTCAGGTGATCAACATTGCTGTAAATTGATAATTAAATCATTATGGAACACATGTTTGCTTTTCCTAAAGAAAAACATGCATTAATTTCTAGAATTTGATGTGCCTTTAATGTTATTGTAAAATGATTTTAGAATCTACATGATAAACAATGAAATACTTACAAGTACTTATTTTAGATAGTTTATATTATTGTTTGCTTGATGAAAATATTTTGAATTATATTATTTGATAAATGATATACTTTACATTTTCTGAATATACCAATTGGTTTTATCATATGAATCTTTAGGCTGGACATGAGTCAAAGTTACCAAATATGTACCATAAAGCAATGTTCTTTTGGAGTTTTCAAAGAGGTTTAGAGGGGTTCAGGTTTGACCTAGGTGACCAGCTTGTCATGGCTCAACAATCCTCATCACCAGCCCAATTTGTTCAGAGGTACAGGGTTCAATACAGTTCTTATAAGCCTTAACAGAGCATTATGGGAACTTATATTTAGTTCTGCAGTCAACATAAAAAAATGTTGCCAATTATTTTTTTCGTGTCAAAACAAAATTATATATGTATATAGTTTACTAATTAACTCAACTCACTGAGTTTACATAGGACTGTTGTAGAAATAGTATAACAATAAATAAATACATAAAAAAGAAGATACAGATTAAGAGACTAAAATGGTTATTTTTATATATTTTTTCAATTTTCTATGGTTAAACTGACATAGTTAATATAGCATTTTACCTGAGCTTTACAGTTGAGGGAACATTAAGTTTATGGTAAAATGATATGATCTTCAGCAAGTTAGCTGCATTATATACTCATGAAAGCATGCTAGATGGATAACAAATTAAAATACAAAAACATTTAATGCTAGTAACAAAACAACTCCACTGCAAAGGTTTCTTATTTTGCAATCTTACATTATTTTGCAATGTAACATGATACTACAAGTTTCTTCTTCAGATTGCTGTCTCACCCAGTTCATGGTAATATGGCCAGCGTGATGCAAAATGAACGAAAACATCACTCCAGTACTAAACTGAACACATCGTTGTTTAGTGTGCTGTCAGTCAGACTGAGGGAAGGTTATACTATTAGAGATATTGCTATAACTAAAGGTATCTTTTCTTTTTAGCTCACTTAAACACAAGTTCTCAGAGGAAGAGAAATAAAAAGATAAACCCAATGTGACTTCATTACAGGTTTTAACATTGAAAAATAAAAATTGTTACCCTTTCTATAGTGATGTACCTCAGGCAGGTGATCAAGGGTTATCATGGCCTTCTTGTTTATTGTAGCAGTTAAACTATAAAGTAATATTGTACAATTCATTTAAATTTGAAGATATACTTAATTATGATTTTTGTTCTCTTTCTTATAGAAAGCTTGAACCTTTGTTTTGTTCAAAAATAATTTTATATCTTAATTTCTCTGGTTTAAAATCCCCAGAGCACCTAGATAATCAGGTCTTTTTATGATGACATTAAAAAATATGATGTCATGCTCATTGCAGAAATTGATTAACTTAATTGCCTACAGCTCCAATTTAACGTAAAACTGCTCTATGGATTTTCTATATTTGTATAACACTTTTTCCTGCATCCTGCAAGATGGACATAGAAATTAGCTAAGAAAAACTGTCATTAGTTTGGATGCAAGCATGGCGATGCATTGCCAATATTTTCACTTCTGATAAATCTCTTGAAATTGGCAAGTTTTATTCCAAACAATGTATATTACAATTTATTTTGCATAAGTAGGACAGTTATGGTGTGTGGTACAGTATTTAAAGCCCCATTTTCTAAAAAAAAACAAAAACAACTTGAGATATGTTCCATTGATTACTTTCATTTACAGTGAAATAAAGTCTGTTTCCCAAAATAAGACTTATTAACTAAGATATTTCCATATGAACATTGATCTACAAATGAAACGGTGACAATCCGTTATAAATAGCAGAAAATGGTTTTCAGTGAAAGATAAAAACATCGTCTGCCTACAGTGCAGGTAGTGTTATGAATTTATTTATTTAAAAATTTAAAGATGAAGACAAGTGGTTGAGTAACAGAAGGTTGTCCTAATGTAGTGATTTTTTCAATTAATAGATTTTGAAATAAAAAAGTGTTCAACAACTTTGTGTATGGATTCTCTACTTTTTTTCATGTTCGGAATTTATAAATTTGTACAAGAGATATTTCATGATGTTTTATAGTGTTTATGTGGATCACAATATTACTGTAGAGATGTTTTGAAACACAATGTATTGCTTGTTACATTTTTTTCACAATACAAACATTTGTGGACTTTAAAAAGAACCACATAATCACCATAGAAATGCAGCAGTTTCTCAAATAAATTGTTGATGATATACAGGTGAGACTCAGTTAGATGTTAGACTTGTGTTGCCATGGAGAGAGTATGCCAGGTTTGCATATCTTGTCAGAGCTGCATGGCCTCTAGATAACAACAGGTAATTTGTCTGTCATGTCCTTATATCTGTCAAATATTTTTACTTCTATTAGCCAATTTTCAGCTGTTTATGGCTTATATAGAATTTACTTTAGTTTGATTGTGTAAGAAGCTATAAGCTTATAGACACACTTTAGAATTTGTTCCTGGAACCAACCAGTACTGAGCAATAAGTGTAAAGTTTCTTGCTCAAGGAAACAATGAATTGCACCTGTCTTTTTGGTACATTAATAATGAAAGATAGTTGCTTGAAATATTTACAAATGATTCATTCAGATAATAGTAGTTGAAGCATGGTAAAATGATCCAGTTAGGTATATTTATTGTAATGTATTTATTTACAGTAGTACAGTTTATTTATCTTATTAGAATATATTCTTTATTATAATGTTACTAATCATACTGGTGCTTATACAATATTGAAAATACTGACTGTACCTCTTCATTAAAAATTGATTCAAGATTAACTTAAAAAAATATTTTTTAAGATATGTTAATTCTTTAGAATTATTTACAGGCCATTGACTCATACAGAAATCACAATAGAAGGCAGTTATGATTTTCTTCATGACATTACATGCATTAAGAATAAAACCAGTACAATGAGTGGCTTCAGAGCTGCTAATGTGAAGAAATTCTGGCAAGTACTGCAGGGGTAAGTCCTTATGATTAATATCCTTACAGACTGTGATTTTCCTCCTATAAAAGGACTCTTCCAAATTGAAATATTCTTTAAATTCATGCAATTTTCCCAAAAGTCTTAATGTACCCTAGCTTTTATGCTTCCCAAATTTGCAATTTTAGTGATAATTTTTCACAAAACCCAGAGGCTATGGCCTCTTTACAATTAATTGAGAAAAACCACTGTCATTATATTCTTATAGAGACATGTTAAATATGTTTCTATGAACTGTCAATTGAAGTTTTGATCAGATACATGTAGTTGTGTTGTACAGATAGTCGTGTTAAACAGATAGTTGTGTTGTACAGATAGTTGTGTTGAACAGATAGTTGTGTTGTAAAGATAGTTGTGTTGTACAGATAGTTGTGTTGTACAGATAGTTGTGTTGAACAGATAGTTGTGTTGTATAGATAGTTGTGTTGTACAGATAGTTGTGTTGTACAGATAGTTGTGTTGTACAGATAGTTGTGTTGAACAGATAGTTGTGTTGAACAGATAGTTGTGTTGTGCAGGTAGTTGTGTTGTACAGATAGTTGTGTTGTGCAGGTAGTTGTGTTGTACAGATAGTTGTGTTGTGCAGATAGTTGTGTTGTATAGATAATTGTGTAGTACAGATAATTGTGTTGTACATATAGTTGTGTTGTACAGATAATTGTGTTGTATAGATAGTTGTGTTGTTCAGATAGTTGTGTTGTACATATAGTTGTGTTGTACAGATAATTGTGTTGTACATATAGTCGTGTTGTACAGATAGTTGTGTTGTTTAGATAGTTGTGTTGTACAGATAGTTGTGTTGTACAGATAGTTGTGTTGAACAGATAGTTGTGTTGAACAGATAGTTGTGTTGTACAGATAGTTGTGTTGAACAGATAGTTGTGTTGTACAGATAGTTATGTTGTACAGATACTTGTGTTGTACAGATAGTTGTGTTGTACAGATAGATGTGTTGGACAGATAGTTGTGTTGGACAGATAGTTGTGTTGGACAGATAGTTGTGTTGGACAGATACTTGTGTTGGACAAGATACTTGTGTTGGACAGATAGTTGTGTTGGACAGATAGTTGTGTTGGACAGATACTTGTGTTGGACAAGATACTTGTGTTGAACAGATAGTTGTGTTGGACTGATAGTTGTGTTGGACAGATAGTTGTGTTGGACATATACTTGTGTTGTACAGATAGTTATGTTGTACAGATAGTTGTGTTGTACAGATAGTTGTGTTGTACAGACACGAAACAGGAAAATGGCTAGAGAAAGAGTGACATGATGATACGTTGAAATTAAAACATTTTTACATCCTTTCTTCATAGTTTTATTGCACTATTTGGTACAATCTCATAATAGGTCATAAGCCTGCATTATGGTAACCAAAATGATTACCCCTGTGAAAAATTGAGCATGTGTCATACTTGTTTTCTTGTAGTACTTGGCAAGTTGCTTAAAAGAAAATGTTTTCAGAAAAAGTAGTATTGTTTTTAATTGTAGTAGTTAGGAGAGAAATTTCAACTTTGACTGATTAAAACTTGCAGGATAAGAAATGTGTATGAGTATTTTTATTTAGTCAAAGGATAAGTAATAAATTTCTTCTTTCATCTGTATTGATAAGCATCTTTCAAACCCTAGATTTTCTTCTAATAACAAACAGAAATTTGTTGTCTTTGTTTAAATATGTTTTATACCTTATATTTTCAGATTGTCGCAAACTGATCAATTACTGGTGCACTTACAGTCATTCTCAATGAAACCAGAGTATTACACATTACCTGGCAGTATAAAAGAAGGCGTTCCATTGTTCTATCTCCCTTTACCTAACTCTGTTACTCCGACACTTAGCACACAGCTCAATTCGAAGTAAGTTGCCTAACTCTGTTACTCCTACACTTAGTACACAGCTCAATTCGAAGTAAGATACCTAACTCTGTTACTCCTACACTTAGTTAACAGGTCAACTCAAAGAAAGTTACCTAACTCTGTCACTTCTACACTTAGTACACAGCTCAACTCAAAGTAAGTTACCTAACTCTGTTACTCCAACATGTAGTACACAGCTCAACTCAGAGTAAGTTACCTTACTCTGTTACTCATACACTTAGTACACAGCTCAACTCAAAGTAAGTCACCTAACTCTGTTACTCCAACATGTAGTACACAGCTCAACTCAAAGTAAGTTACCTAACTCTGTCACTCCTACACTTAGTACACAGCTCAACTCGAAGTAAGTAACCTAACTCTGTTACTCCTTCACTTAGAACACAGCTCAACTTGAAGTAAGTCACCTAACTCTGTCACTCCTACACTTAGTACACAGCTCAACTCAAAGTAAGTTACCTAACTCTGTTACTCATACACTTAGTACACAGCTCAACTCATAGTAAGTCACCTAACTCTGTTACTCATACACTTAGTACACAGCTCAACTCATAGTAAGTCACCTAACTCTGTTACTCCAACATGTAATACACAGCTCAACTCAAAGTAAGATACCTAACTCTGTCACTTCTACACTTAGTACACAGCTCAACTTGAAGTAAGTAACCTAACTCTGTTACTCCTACACTTAGTACACAGCTCAACTTGAAGTAAGTCACCTAACTCTGTCACTCCGACAATTAGTACACAGCTCAACTTGAAGTAAGTTACCTAACTCTGTTACTCCTACACTTAGAACACAGCTCAACTTGAAGTAAGTCACCTAACTCTGTCACTCCGACAATTAGTACACAGCTCAACTTGAAGTAAGTTACCTAACTCTGTTACTTCTACACTTAGTACACAGCTCAACTCAAAGTAAGTTACCTAACTCTGTTACTCCTACACTTAGTACACAGCTCAACTCGAAGTAAGTTACCTAACTCTGTTACTCCAACATGTAGTACACAGCTCAACTTGAAGTAAGTTACCTAACTTAGTTACTCCTTCTCTTAGTACACAGCTCAACTCGAAGTAAGTTACCTAACTCTGTTACTCCAACATGTAGTACACAGCTCAACTTGAAGTAAGTTACCTAACTCTGTTACTCCTACACTTAGTACACAGCTCAACTCAAAGTAAGTTACCTAACTCTGTTACTCATACGTACACTTAGTACACAGCTCAACTCAAAGTAAGATACCTAACTCTGTTACTCATAGGTACACTTAGTACACAGCTCAACTCAAAGTAAGTTACCTAACTCTGTTACTCCTACACTTAGTACACAGCTCAACTCAAAGTAAGTTACCTAACTCTGTTACTCCTACACTAAGTACACAGCTCAACTCAAAGCAAGTTACCTAACTCTGTTACTCCTACACTTAGTACACAGTTTAACTCGAAGTAAGTTACCTAACTCTGTCACTCCTACACTTAGTACACAGCTTAACTCGAAGTAAGTTACCTAACTCTGTTACTCCTACACTTAGAGCAAAGCTGAACTTAAGGAAAGTTATATAACTTTGTTACCTGTACACTGTACACCTAATGAATGTCAGTCATTTCCCTATTGTGAGGGTATATATGCAGTATGTTCTTCTTTATTTTTCTGTGGAGCTAAACAAACAAAATATGTGACACAAAATGTCAATGGAAATGTGAGCATTATTTTGAAAAGATACAGGTACAAAATGTACTTTTGTAACAATAACATGTTTAATTTTTGTGTGTTTAATTGATTATTTACAAAGTACAATTTGTTTCCAGGGATACAGTTTTGAACCAGTTTGCTTCATTTTGGAGGCCTGTTGTCAACCTGGACATCAAAATATGGTGAGTAAATCATCTTATAGTTAGATTTATTGATAGAATTTAATATTTGTAATTTAGTTAAATTTTCATTCAATTAATAAATTGTTGAATGCTTTAGTAACATTCATGATAGAGAACTTATTTCTGAGAAAGAGATAGTTTTGTTTGTTTTGGGTTTTACGTCACATTGACACAGTATAGGTCATATCGCGACGTTCCAGCTTTTCTGGTGGAGGAAGACCTCAGGTGCCCTTCCGTGCATTATTTCAGGCACGAACGGGCACCTGAGTAGAACCACCGACGTTCCGTAAGCTAGCTGGATAGCTTCCTCACATGAAAGAATCCAAAGTCCCTGTCGGAATTCGAACACACAGTGGTGAGGGGCAAGTGGTTCGAAGTCAACGACCTTAACCACTCGGCCACGGACACCCCTACGAGAAAGAGATAGCAATATCAGTAAAGAATTTTGTGTAATATAATGCAGCCTTCTATTTATATGTTTATGTAAGAAATTATAGATTAATTGACGTATTTTTGATTTTAGGCAAAAGTGGATGCACACTCACAGAATTGGATTGGTGTTGGAGCATGATATAGGAGTGACCAAGCACATTCACATCCCTAGTTCAAGTTTTAGATACACTATGGTCATGTGTAGACTGGCTTCAACCTCACTCAACTTATTCCTCTCTTCCTGGAGTACATTTATACTTCTAGATAGTCAATCTTATATCAAACTTATTTACGAGTAAGTAGTCTCCCTTCTTAGTCTTATACATGTATCAAACTTATTTACGAGTGAGCAGTCTCCCTTCTTAGTCTTTTATCGAACTTATTTAAGAGTGAGTAGTCTCCCTTGAAAAATGATTTATTAAAGTATTTACAAATGACTTTAATAAATCATTTTTCAAGGGAGACTACTCACTCGTAAATAAGTATATAAATTTTTTATCCATATTGTTACAGGTTTCTTTACTTCTAGATATTTTAATTAAAGACCTAGTTTATATAAAGTCCATCTATGGTTTGTTTAAAGATCAAGCTTGTACCTGATATTTAATATGATTTATACTGTTGTAGAAATGATGAAGACAAAACAAAACAGAAGCCTCCATCATCATTTCTGTTGATACGTATAACATCAAAACCTCCATGTCTGGTGCTACGTCTTGCCTTCCTGGGGGGAACACCTGGATATCTTAGATATGAACTAGTGAAAGAACTCAAACAGAAGGTTGCTGAACTCAAGTTTCCTAAAAGATTTTCTAAGAGTGACAAAGATAGGTAAACATTGTTAAGTTTGTTAATCATATAACCCATTGCGCAGGAGTTTAATATAGCCATTGAATATGAAAGATATTACACTAGTGCAGTAACAATGCAAATGAGGTGATAAATTTATATATTCATTTGCACTGTTAACAAACTAAACAGACATGGTCTGCCATCACAGTATTACTAACTTCTGTTGAAGGAAGACCTAAATTCTGTCACATACCCCATGCCTTTCGAGATCTGTTTAACATCATTGTCACTAAAATTATTCAGAATAATTGGAGAATGTGACTCTTACAATAGAAGTGAAGTTTAACACATTCCAGGTCAATTATTAATCTCACTGGGGGAATTACAAGCCTTTTTCAAGTTGTCTATCCAATTAGAGGTATGTATTCTATAACTCTGGTCCAGTCATATTCATAAAGGTTATTGTAATGTTTAAACTTATAATGCATGTATTTTCCACCCAGAAAAACATGGGTAAGCACTATTTTATTTGCTCATCTATTTTCAACTGCATAACTCAGGCCATTATTTTTTGATATTTCGGTTTACAGACCCGCCGACTCTGTATTTTGGGAAAATGAAAAAAAAAAAATCTGCCCCCAAAAAAATTCTGTGTTGTCTTGAAATACGCTGCTAATAATACGACTTGTCAAAGAAATGTCGGGGTAAGTATTTTAATTAACTGTTAAACCTACCAAATACCAGACTATTTTACCTACGATTTATACACGCATCCGGTTATCTTTACTCGAGAATAGCCTGTCGTCTGCTAGTTGGGCAAAGTGTTTATTGGTGTATTATGAAAGAATGTCTGTTAAATGGGGTCAAGCCATTCTCACAGAATTATAATAAGGCTTTGATCATATTTCATCAATGCATTCAAGGTCGAAATGCGTAAAAATGTAAAACAACCAAACAACTAAACAAAAAAAAAAAAAAAAAACACGCCAAATTACGTAAGCAATTACATTCAAGGACAGAGCGAGAGAAATCTGCTGCAATTGACAAGATCAGTATTTTCAGATTTAACAAAAAAAATTAGTCTTTAAAAGCAGATTGAAAACAGGTTTCAAACAAACAAAATAAAAAAAAAATGCCCGCACTTACTTTTAATAGATTTTTATGTCAAAAATTGACCCGCTAATTATCCGATAAAAATATTTTAACAATGGGCAAAATTGAACATGACTTTGTGTAATCTTTTCTTGACAGTTTTTTTTTAACATCTGATCTATAAAGAAATGAGTGCAAGTCAGCTGATTTTCGGCACCTTTGATGATTCAGATTACACAGCAGTGTGTAAACATCAAAGAATGACAGATTCTTTTGAAGAGCTCGCTTGCCACTTGTCATTAGTCATTGTGTGTAGATTTCATGTGTGTTTTTAAACAATGGCAATATGAGCAAAAGTTTGTTTTTTTGTGTATTTAAACAATCTTTGGAATAGACAATCGGCGATGTATTTAATTTCATTGCTCTAGTAAGTACTATGTATATGTATGCACCACATTTATAGTTATGAAAACTTTTTTTTTTTTTTTTCCCGCCGCCGACCCTACCTTTTTTTGGAAAAAATCAGTAAACCAAAATATAAAAAAAAATTGGCCTCACTGACATTAATTCAGCATTAAAGGGGTCAAATACAAGAAATAATTGATATTTGCATATTTTTTAAGTTTTGGTTTATATGATAAAAAGCCTTGTATTGAATAACTAATTCAACTTGTTAAATAATTTCATTATGAAAAGACACTTATAAAACCCTGAAAACCCTGAAATATTTTAATGGACTTGACAATCTTTCAATCTGAACCAAACTAGCATCATTTTTAAGGAAAATTTTGAAATATATACTTACTGAATAGCAAACAGTTCAGACCATGATCAGATGGCACAGATGTGCAAACAGATTATTTTTTAAGCTGTATATAAATAAAGACATAAGCATTCCAATGCATACTTTACATAATTGATGCTTCAGTTCCTGTATATAATTTACAGGAGATCAGCTCTTGTCAGTAAAGAGAAAGATACAGTTCACAAGCCACCATTGGCACGGGAATGGTCTCAGATGAAGTGTTGTGTACTTCTAGTCAAACCAGTAGAAAGTATTCTTATCAGGTATGTAATAATATTTTGTAACATTCAAAGAGTATTTAACCTACCTAGTAGCTGTCTGTGACTGGCAGATTTTCTCAGAGATTGTTTGTACAATGCACATGTATCACTCACTTAATAAAAATTATATATATTGAAAGTATAAACTTGTAGGTATATCAGCACTTATTGTTTTTTGCCGTCAGCTTAGACAACTGAACTGTACATATTTATCATTATTAATCCATGATATGTACAATAATTCTTTATTTGTAGATACGAAAAAGTACCACATGACATGACAAAGTTAGAAGCCCAGGCCACACCAGAGGTATCTCCATTTTTACCTTATTCTAGTCAGCCGAAGAATAAATCGGCAGCAAACCAGTACAATTCTCTGTCAAGATACCTGTTACATCAGAGATGGATCTGGACATTACAACAAGCTGGTGTTAACAGTATCTCTATGTCAGGCATTGGACGTATCCTCTCTACATTAACCAAGTATGTTTATTATTGTTGCATTATCATTGTTGTGTTAGCATTAAAGGGACTCCACTGAGGTTTAAAAGCCTAAAAACATATCATTAGAATTTCTTACATAAATGAACTGGGGTGCTTTAAACAGAAATATATGCAAAGATAGTTAAGAAATATACTTTAAAATAAATCGAAAATCATAGTTTTATGCTTTTCTTAGTCTAATTTGAATGAAAAGCGTTTAAACGCTTTTCATTTTGGGTCATTTTTTTACAATTTGAATAATTATTATGGAAAAACGAAGTGCACGAATGATCTGAAAGTTTGCACAAAGATTCGTGATCTACAACTACATCAAATGGTACATTTATCTGGAAAAAAATATTTTCAGTCCCATCATGTCAAAAAACCTCAAGTGGAGTCCCTTTAATTGTCGTGATAGCATTAATTATTGTATCATCATTACTGGTCGGAGACCATCAACCGTACACTTTTGGAACATTTTTCCGTACAGATTTCATAATTTTTAACCTAGAGACCAAAAAGTTTGACACAGTTCAGCTAGGTTCTTCTCCCAAACTAACAAACTAGCTTGTTTATTTCTGATTGTATTGACACTTATATCTGAGGCTGAGACAAGGAGGGAATCAAAATTACCTAAATTATCTACACTACAGTACCATGTGTCCGGACAGATATGCACATGACTAGATTTAATTCAGATAAAAGTTTGGGTGTTTTGATTTTTTATTTTTAACATGATATACAATATTTCAGCAACAAATGCTGAAGTTTTGGATATTCTATTGTTTACTCTGCAAATGTTATAACTGGTATATGAGGTCAGGCATTGTTTTCTTGACCCCGAAATTTCAACATCAACATTCTTGAAATAGACATTAAGATATTACCTTTTACGGAGGTTGAAATAAAAATTTATTTTCTTAATTTTAGAAGAAACACGCATTTATTGTTGATAAACAACCACTGAACAAAGAAAATACTAAATTAAGCATTTTCGGGGCCGTCCGGGTTTGGTGGTTGTCCGGTTTTGGTGGTCCCCAACCAGTACAGTTATATTTCTTGTATCAGCATTGTTGTGATAGCATTAATTGTTGTGTTAGCATCATTTGTTGTATCCTCATTACAGTAGTATTTCTTGTATCAGCATTATTATTGTTTCAGCATTTTGGTGTTAGCATTAATTTTTTGTGTTAGCATCTTTTGTTGTATCTTCATTACAGCTGTATTTATGTTTAAGATTAAGGTTACATTATTATTGTTTCAGCATTATTTCTTGCAGCAGCTTATTTGCTGCAGCCAATTTTTATTTTCATTTATATACAAACACCCTTTTATGCTTGAAAGAAAAAATACTTCTTTGCTGTAATCTAACCTGCCCTATTAACAGCTAACTTTAAAAGATTTTATTTTAGTACTGAGATGTACAAAAATGATCTGTAAATGTTAGCAAGACAACTTTTCATTTCTTGTAATACTTGTATTATTTTTTTTATATTATATTAAGATTCAAATGAGCCAAATATTGTTTTAATGTATTGTTGTAACTCCATTGAAGTGTTTACTATAATATTAACTCTCTTGCAATGGTTTAAAGTTAATATTTTACATACATGTACATGTATCACGTTAAACTGATAGATTATGAAGCCTCATCTTTAATGTAATTGTATTATTACCTCATGTTGTCATGTTTACATGATCTGAGTGGAATAAAATAAATTTTAAATTGTTGCAGAATCATGTAACCTTTTTAGCTCGACTATACGAAGTATATGGAGAGCTGTCCTACTCGCCCCGGCGTCGGCGTCCGCGTCCGCGTCCAGATTTTAGATTAAAGTTTTGGTGCAGTAAAATATTTTTCACTATAACTTTGTCATTTCTTAAGGTATGAACTTCAAACTTCAAATATATGTTCCTTATCATCAACCACATCTTATGTGACAAGGTTCATAACTCTAGCACCAATATTTTCAGATTTATCTCCCCTTGAACTTAGAATTTTCCTTGAAAAATACTATTTTTTACTGATACTTCTTTATTTCTTAAGGGATCAACCTCATACTTCAAATATATGTACCTTATCATCATTCCCATCTTATGTGACAAGGTTCATAACTCCAGCACCAATATTTTCAGATTTATCTCCCCTTGAACTTAGAATTTTCCTCAAAAAATATTATTTCTTACGGTTTTCTTCTTTATTTCTTAAGGGATCAACTTCATACTTCAAATATATTTACGTTATCATCATCCCCATCTTATATGACAAGGTTCATAACTCTAGCACCAATATTTACAGATTTATCTCCCTTTGAACTTAGAATTTTCCATACAAAATATTATTTTTACTGTAACTTATTTATTTCTAAAGGGATCAACTTCATACTTCAAATATATTTACGTTTTCATCATCCACATCTTATGTGACAAGGTTCATAACTCTAGCACCAATATTGCAAGAATTATCTCCCCATAAACTTAGATTTATTTACTAGAAAAATGTTATTTTTTATTTTAACTTTTTTATTTTTAAAGGTATCTACCTCAAACTTCAAATACTTATTCCTTATCATCAATTACATTTTATGTGACAATGTTCATAACTCTTGAAGCAATATTTACAGATATATCTCTCTTTGAACTTTGGATTTTCTTTAAGAAATATAATAACTTCTTTATTTTTTAAGGTATTTACTTCAAACTTCAAATATATATTTCTTATCATTACACAAATGTTGTGTGGCAAGGTCCATAACTCTAGCATGACTATTTCTAGAATTATTCCCCTTGATCTTGGAATTTATGTTAACAAATGTTATTTTTTTACTATAACTTTATACATAATTATACATAATTGATTTTTCTTTCATAGTTTTGTCCTCCTTACTGCATCCAGTATTTTATTAGTCGAGCTTTGCTGTCTCCTGTGACAGCTCTTGTTAGCTCACCTGTCACAAAGTGACAGGGTGAGCTTTTGTGATCGCTTTTGTCCGTCGTCCGTCAGACCGTCCGTCGTCCGTCCGTCGTCCGTAAACTTTTACTTTAAATGACATCTCCTCATAAACCGCTGAGCCAATTTCATCCAAACTTCACAGGAATGTTCCTTTGGTGGTCACCTTTAAAAATTGTTCAAAGAATTTCATTCCATGCAGAACTCTGGTTGCCATGGCAACCGATAGAAAAAACTTAAAATATCTTCTTTTAAAAAACCGAAAGAGGTAGAGCTTAGATATTTGGCTTAAAATATCTTCTAGTGAGTGTCTATCAAGTTTGTTCAAATAAAAGCCCTGGGGTCAAAATTGGCCCCGCCCCGGGGGTCATTGATTTTCCCTATATGCATATAGTAAAAACTTAAAAAATCTTCTTTTAAAGAACTCAAAGAGCTAGAGCTTAGATATTTAGCATGAAACATCTTCTAATGGGTGTCTACCAAGTTTGTTCAAAGAAAAGCACTGGGGTCAAAATTGGCCCCGCCCCAGGGGGTCATTGATTTTCCCTATATGCATATAGTAAAAACTTATAAAATTTTCTTTTAAAGAACCCAAAGAGCTAGAGCTAAGATATTTAGCATGAAACATGTTCTACTGAGTGTCTACCAAGTTTGTTCAAATAAAAGCCCTGGGGTTTAAACTGGCCCCGCCCTGGGGGCCTATATACAGGTGAGTGACTTCAGGGCCATCATGGCCCTCTTGTTGTTGTTTCATGTGACATGCAATGTAAGTAATTTTATTTTGTTGGACTAGAATTTTAAATACTGTTATTGTTTTCTTACAGAATGCGTATACAGCAGGGTTTCCATTTTGGGTACACAAATCAGGGTATTGTTAACATGATGGTTGAATTAGATATGAAGGTGGGTGTTAAGTTTATACAGAATTTATTTTTAGTATTTTTAGTTGATTGCATAGGATACTTTAAGCTTATAGACTCACTCTTGAACTCTATGGTTGATGTTTATAAGTGAATTATTGCATATTTCACTGTGAAATACTGTTATGTATAATATTTACAACTTTAAGTAGTGTGAAGATGATATCATGTATCAATATAGACCTATTTTGATTAACAGGTTAATTTATGATTATGCTCTTGACATATGCACATATGTCTTCTAGTTTTATTCAGGGTGTTTTTTTTTGAAAATGAATAATAGATGTTCTGAATAATGAAATAAATTTCATTCAAAGACGTCTTGTGTATGCTACAGGATCCAGAAAGTGGTACAGATTCTACAGTGAAATCCAAACAGAAGCCAACATGTGTTGTACAATACATTCTCTTCCCTCCATACACTAAAACTACATCAGACAGGTAATTTTAACTGATAGGTATACAAAGAATATATTGACTTGACTATCTATCATTGATCAAGCCTGTAAACCAAAGCACTAGGCCCTACCATGCTTAATATCTTAAAACCATGCTTAATATGTTAAATGGAATTGTCCATCTTACAATCTAAACAAAATCATTTATTGTTTTTAGCTTAAATTTTTGAATGTACTGATATACTGAAAAACACAGCACAGTTAAAATTATGCCAGTGATCATTTCAGATATGCCATGACTTTTAGTACTTTGTATTATACTGCTTTTGTGAAACTTACTGAGCATAACTCTGGTCTGAAGATTTACCAGAGATGATTATCCCCCTTTGACTATTTTTCAAACATTAGTTACACAATTCCTAAACTTGAATGTTTTTTTCTATGTTTGAAATTGTAAAAGGATTAAGGGTGTCAGCAATTTTCATGTAATTCTATTGTGATTAATGCTTCCGAGGGGTCATTCTTCTTCCATATTTTTAAACATCACAACAGAAGGTGTCAAGTGGGGTGTGGCAGCAGTAAACAGTTGCCCGGAACTTCATTGTTGTTATATTTTTCTGGTCTTTCAGGATCATAAATTCAAGCACTTTTAAATGTTTCACAACAGAAGGTGTCAAATGGGGTGTGGCAGCAGTAAAAAGTTGCCCGGAACTTCATTGTTGTTATTAGTCCCCTACCGGTTTAACCGGAGGGGACTTTAGGTTTACCCTCCGTCCGTCTGTCTGTCTGTCTGTCCGTCTGTCTGTCAGTCTGTCAGTCCGTCAGTCAGTCCGTCCGTCCACAAAACTGGATCCCGCGATAACGCAAAAAGTACTGAAAATATTTTTATGAAACTTGATATATGGATAGATGGCAGTATGGAGATTATGCACGTCTTTTTCTTTTCTTCCTATGTTGAAAATTCTGGTTGCTATGGCAACAAATAGTCTGAAAATATGGCAAATTTAACACATAAACTGGATCCAGTGATAACTCAAAAAGTACTGAAAATATTTTTATGAAACATAAAATATGGGTAGATGGCAGTCTGCAGATTATGCACATCTTTTTCTTTTCTTCCTATGTTGAAAATTCTGGTTGCTATGGCAACAAATAGCCTGGATTTCAAGATTTCTGATTTAATTTTTTCAGCTTTTTCATTATAAGTTCTCTATTTCTTAAGGTGTTTACTTCAAACTTTAAATATAAGTTGCTGGTCAGCAACCACATCATATATGACAAGGTTTACAACTCTAGCACAAAAAGTATCAGTATTACCTCCCTTGAACTTAGAATTTTTATGAAAAAAAATGTTTTTTTTTTTTAAATAACTTCTTTATTTCCTAATGTATCTACTTCAAACTTCATATATATGTTTCTTATTATCACTCAACATTTTGGAGAAGGTTAAATACTCTAGCAAGACTATTTCCAGAATTATGTCCCCCTTGAACTTAGATTTTTTTCGAGAAATTGGTATATTTTACTCCAACTTCTTCATTCCTTATAGGATTTACTTTAAAATCCCACATCGTAATAATATGACAAGGTTGTATGAACATAATTGCCTTACTAGGCAGGGAAACTTAACACATTACTGTGAAATAGACAAACTTAGAACTCAAAAGATTTAAGTTCATTCATGTCATTCATTCACTGGTAAAATTGAAATCAGAATGTTGCTGGGGTTCTAACTGGAAGGGGACTTATGGATTGCTTGCAATACTATGATAATTGCTTGTATTTTTCTGGTCTTTCAGGATCATAAATTCAAGCACTTTTAAATGTTGAGAATTGAGTACCACTCAAGCTGGTGCTAGGGGGCATGAGGAATGTTGCACCTACTCATTATCCCTCATGTACAGACTCATTTAACAAAGCTTGCAATTTTCATGTAATTTTGTTGTGATTTATGCTTCTGAGCAATCACTCTTGTTATAGGAAAAATTAGTCACATTTGAGGCTAAATTCTTGATATCAAAATCACTGTTGAGAAATTTTCTGTCTTCATCATTAAACATCAACTTTATCCAGGTCAAATGAGGCCCAAAATATGTTAGTCATCACATTGCTTCAGAAAATGTCTTGTGTCACTGCTTAATTTGTCTAGTGTAAAAAGTTATGATTGCTGGCATCTAGTACATGTATGGTACATATTGTATCCTTCTACCCAGGAATGTCTTTTCAAGTCACCAGTTTTCACCAGAAATTGTGATGAGTATACTTGTTGTGAACTCATACATCGTCACTTTGGTGCAGTAATGGGTTAACTTCTTCTATAATTTTAATAGGAGTTAACCCATTACTGATCTAAGGTGACAATATAGACCTGATATTTATGAAAAAGTTAATGGCATATATTTTTGATCAGTTTAAGTGATGATGATGAGGAAATGGAATCAACAGAGGATGATGGGATACTACAGATTATCATGGAATGCTGGGTAGAGCCTCAACATGGTGTTGCCATTAACAACACACCAGAGAGAGAACAGTTTGAGGGAATCACATGTAATCAAATACCCACAGTGGTAAGTCAGTAGTTGATAGATTTAATTCAATTCACAAGATATTTACTTTCCTCACAGTATTGATCTAAATATCTTTCCTGCCTTTAGAAATTATAAATAATTCTAAAATATAAGGGCATTGTATGAAAACATTTGAATATCATTCATTGTGTCTAGTGTTAGAACTGTGATGCAGCAAGTCCATACAATTATTGAAAAATTGAGAACTGAGTTCAGGTAAGTAGAAAAAGGAAAGAAATTTTCTATTTACCATGCTTACTTTTGATTTTACATTGTTACCAAAGTGCCATCTCGTAAAAATAGTTTATTGAGATTTTAAGTTGTATCAAGGTACCAGCTATTAAGATTGTATCATCACTTTGTGCAGGAACTGGTTAACTCCTATTGTTTAAAAACAGGAGTTAACCTGTTACTGCACTACTGTGAAGATTGTGGTTGAACCACTAATTCTCCACCTGGCTTCTGTTTTTCATTTCTGGTATTAAAGTTCTGTGAGTGACATTGGGAATGAAACATTATACTTGTTTGATTACAAATAGTCATGGTGTTTTATACGTGTAGACAGATGATGAAGAAAATCAATGATATATGCATACATATGAAGAGTATATATATATTTAGACTGAGAAAGGAAGATGGTTTTGGAGAAACTTTATTTTGATGGATGCCTTTACTTGAATGTTTGCAGGATTATTATTTGTTAGAGGTTGTAGTTAGTAAAATGACTGTGATTGAACCATGACATAAATGGTCGGAGTTCAAAAAGTGACCACCAGTAATATCACAAGTACCCTTTTAGTCTGAAACTATTGTAGTTAGTAATAAGGCCTTAATTTTGAAACGGAACACCCTCACCACTGCATACACATTTTAGATTATTATCCCAATCTTGAGCATGGATCTCAAAAGAGAACCTGTCTTTTAATTCCCATCTGAAACAGAATGATGTAAAGTTACTCAAGTCTACAAAGTAGATTTGTCCCTTCTATTCCCCCATAATGTACAGCTTATCGTCATAAACTTTAATGCAAGACAGGAAGTTCTACAACAATTACATGAAGAACTTGTATAGCTCTTCCATACAGATACAAGGATTTTTGACACTTTCTAACTGTTCTTAGATTCTTAGTGTTTAAATTGATGACTCAATTACTGGACTAAATGTTTTGTGCAGTCATTAAACTCTAATTTTAAAAGGTACAAGTTCTTCCCAAGAAAATTTTTTTCTGTGGATCTAATATTTTTAAAGGAAAGAAATTTCCATGAAGACATTTTCAGAAAAAAAACGATAAATTAACAATTGAGCACAACTGGTGATAATGAAAGTTTTATGGCATCATTACAGGCTATGACATGCCTTTATACCAATGAATTCTTACCATATACTGAACTGTAGTCTGTCCATGATATATGTTGTGATGCTGATTTCTCTATTAATTAACATTAGGCAGGACTTTGGGCTTTCTTAAAACATACATAAGGCTATCAGAACTGTGACTGTTCAGTTATTTTGTATTTTTGATGTTGAAATCTCTATAAAATAACATTTAATTTAGGTGGTCAGAATTCTGAGCTGTCCCAGGGCTGAGCAGTTTTAGTGTATTGTTGCTCAAATCTCAAGTGCATAATGGTTTTGAAAGGTTATAATTTAATTAAAATGAAAATTTCTGTACTGTTTCCACTTCTGTTATCTTTAACAAGTTGTTTTGTCTTGTGTTGAATTTATACTAATCAAGGAACATTTAATCATGTACCAAAACTATGTAATGTGTTGTAGGAATTTCATTATTGTTATATAGTCATAGCTTACATACATACTTTTCACATTGCATGAATATTTTTTAATTAATGTCAAAACTGCTAGTGCATATTAAAGATTGAAGGATAGATACACATTAGGGTATAAATCGGTTGTTTTTGGGGTATTAAATCATACTATTTGCAAGCAATAGTTTTCCTTGAAAATTGTTATGAATTCTTTTGTAAAAAAATATATGTTAAATTTATAAGTTATGTAGCAAGTCCCTGATATCTTATTATCCAGCTTTAATTTGGTAAAAATGTGAAACATACAACACTATCTAGAAATTAAATTAGGAAGAAAATGAAGTCAACACAATGAAGTTCAAAGTGACATTATGCTCATTTTTTTCACTGTCAAACAGATAAATATGATGCATATTTGAAAAGATTGTCTGTTATAATGGCAATTGAACAATAATTGATAGGATAAAATATAAAAACTGCCTGAAATATAAAAAGACTGTCTCACTCTTTTTATAAATGGAACATTACCAATAATTACCGAAGGATATATATTTATATATTTATATGGGTCACGTGGGTTATTGATTACTCGGGTGACGTTTATTATGAAATTGGAAACAAATTTTTTAATATGACAAAAGGTGTGAAGTTATTTCAATTTTACCTGAACACTCACCATTTACTCTCGGATGTGCATATAATGTCACTTCAAGGTATCTTCAAACTAGATCAAACAAGAAACATTGTTTTATGTATATAAGTATTTGATTTTCTTTGTACATTCTTAAAGTATCTATATGAATTACTTATGGTTTGAGATTATAAGTCATGATGACCATTGATCAGATCAAAGTTTGAATGTGATTATTTTAATCTTTTCAAGTTATATATCAGTAGCCAAAAAGTGTGAGAAATAAACCCTAATCCACTTGTTCAGCGATTATTTTATTTGTAGAGATGTTAGAGTTTATCAATCATTTATCAGTCACGATGTACAGAGCTGACTGGTATCTTAAGATGCTACCTTTGCCCAGTCTCGATCAGCCAAATCTTCATTCCTTTTTATGTCTTGTTTTATCATGATTTTAAAGATTGACCTTCTTTTGTTTTACCTACATACAGATTATCATTTCTTTTGTTGTATGTTTAAATGGGTAGAGTGTCACTTGATTTTATCCTTTACCTGCTGGGAAGCAGGAACACAACAATATGACCTTACTAGTGTTTATGTGACTGAAAACCTGAATTTATTAGTTATTTGGTTTATATGTGATAAAAAGATTTATGTATGAGTGTTTGTTTCAAACTTTTAAATCACACCAATATTGTTATGATATAGTTTGTGGTTAAGTTGTATCATAATATCCTTGAAATCAACATATGATAAGGGGTGTTCGTGGCCAAGTGATTAAGATCGTTGACTTCAAAGTGCTTGCCCCTCACCACTGTCTCGAATCCCGACAGGGACTTTGGATTCTTTCATTTGAGGAAGCTATCCAGCAAGCTTACTGAACGTCGGTGATTCTACTTGGGTGCCCGTTTGTGCCTGAAATAATTCCAAAGAGGGGCACCTGTGGTCTTCTTCCACCAGTAAAACTGGAATGTCGCCATATGATATAAATACTGTGTCGGTGTGACGTAAAACCCAATCAAACAAACAACATATATATTATATACTAGTAAATACAAATGTAACACATGGGGTTGTGGGTAACAGTAAAAGTATCATCGCGAGTAAAATACTGTTACCCCGGACAATAACTGTGATAATTTTTATGATGATTTTATTTTATTTTCTTTTGAAAATAGACCATGTGGCCAGATTTTATACTGTTAAAAAATACTGATATTGGCTGTGCAAAATCATGAAAGAAAGTCAATTTGCTTTAGCCCTTACCTCACAAAATATCTTAAATTGGATATGTTTATGATTTACATTTAAGGACAGAACCATCATTCATTTTTAGGGAAAATTTAAAACTATGTACAGATTGAATAGCGAACAGTGCAGACCATGATCAAATGGCATGAAAGTGCTGGCTGATCAATGGTCTGCACTGGTCCTACGGGTAGAATCAGTTACTGTCAGCAGATTCATTCCCTTTATGAGCTGTTGCTTGATTTGAGTAATCAAAATATAATAATGAATAAAAGCATTTAAGACGTAACTTTCATTTTTCATTTATAATTGATCTCATTTAGAATTTAGACAAGACATGTCCCCTGTTAATTTTTTGGGGGTTTCAAGATCAAAGCACTAAATATGAGCTTGAAACCGTATTATACAAGGAACCACTGATACACATGTTTGCATGATTCCATATTGATTGCATTAGACTTGCTTTATTGTGATGAAGAAATATAGCAAAGTCATCATAAATTTCATACCGTATCAGCTTAATTTTATACACATTTTCATTATTTCATACAGATATGAATATATCAAAGTTGTATTATTTATTCAACAAGATTGAGGTCCCGGTATTATCAGAGATGAAGACGTACATAAGCTGAAGACACATATTTTCATGAATAATATCATTTTTTTCTGTGGCTTTTGAAATTTTATTTTAAGGTATTAGGACCCTAATGGGCACTATAAGGAACTGAAAAATTGACATCATAGGTCAGATGTATACCTTAAAGTACACCTGTATGCAAAATTTAAACAAAGTTTACCGTACGGAAATCAAGTTATGGCCACTTTTCTGAACTCAAGCTAGGATGTTATGAGGGCCCTTTTTTAGAAATGAGGAACCTTTAAATAATCTGTAATAACTTTCTAATGAAAAATGTTTTCTCATGAATTTTTGGTAACAAATAGTACCATTCAGCTAACAATCCACATAAGCAAAATTATGGTTTCTACATAAAATTTATGAAATCTGTATAAAAATGTTACCCTACCCCACCCATTTTTACCACGTGTCTGACCATTTTTTTTTAACTTTTTTTTCTACTAAGGGAGCCTAATTTAAAAAATTCTTAAAATTTACCCAAATGAGTGCCTGTTTTCAAAGTTTCCCTAAATTTTTAAAAAAGTATATTGGTTGATCTTGTAAAATATGAAATACTTTTACCGTCTAGTTTTGATTATATTACGCTTTGAAAATATCAGGTATCATATTTATTACTAGATTTAGCATAATTTAGCCAATAAATACCTATATAAATTAAAAAATCAAAATTAAACACTTTTTTCTTTCCAAATGGGACATGAGAAATACATAAAT